GTGAGATAGTTGGAATTGGTGATATCAAAATACAAACAAATATCGGGAGTACAATGATATTGAAGGATGTCCGTCATGTGCCAGATCTTCGTCTAAACCTAATATCAGGTATAGCTCTTGACAAACAGGGCTATGAAAGTTATTTCGGAAAAGGCACATGGAAATTGCTGAAAGGGGTTATGATTCTCGCTCGAGGACATATTTGTGGCAACTTATATAAAACTCATGTGAAGGTATGTTCAGACAGCCTCAATGTTATGGAAAAAGAGGCGTCTCAAAACCTGTGGCACCAGAGACTCGGTCACATGAGTGAAAAGGGGATATCAATTCTAACGAAAAAGCAGCTTATCAGAATGGACAAGAATGCTGCTTTAGACCCTTGTAATCATTGCTTATTCGGAAAGCAACATAGAGTCTCTTTTACATTTTCTTCAACCAGAAAATCAGAGTTACTCAGTCTGGTACACTCTGATATTTGTGGTCCCATGGAGGAGAAGTCACTTGGCGGCAATAGGTATTTTCTGACTTTCATTGATGATGCTTCTCGAAAGGTGTGGGTGTACTTCTTAAAGACAAAGGACCAGGCTTTTGATTATTTCAAGATATTTCATGCCATGGTAGAGCGTGAAACGGGAAAGAAATTAAAATGCCTTCGCTCAGATAATGGAGGCGAGTATACTTCCAAGGAGTTCGATTCCTATTGCAAGAGACAAGGGATTCGACATGAAAAGACGGTCCCACGCACCCCACAACACAATGGAGTAGCCGAGAGAATGAACCGGACAATTATGGAAAGAGTCAGAAGTATGATCAGTATGGCAAAGCTGCCTAAGCCATTCTGGGGAGAAGCTGTTCGCGCCGCTTGCTACCTAATCAACCGGTCACCATCAGCCCCGTTGAATTTTGAGGTTCCAGAGAAAATATGGTCGGGTAAGAATCCCTCATATTCTCACTTAAGGGTATTCGGTTGTTTAGCACATGCACATGTATCCAAGGAGCTCAGGAAGAAGCTTGATGGTAGAACTATACCATGTATCTTCATAGGCTATGGAGATGAAGAATTTGGGTATAGATTATGGGATCCAATACAGAAGACGGTGATCAGAAGTAGGGATGTTGTATTCCACGAAAACCAGACAATTGAAGACATTGAAAAGCCCACAATGTCTTATGAAAGAGGTTCCAGTGCCCAAAAAGTTGGTCCAGATCCACTACCATTGCAGTTTGACACAAATAGCATGGGGGAGCATGAAGCAGTACCAGAAGCAGAACAGGAGGATGTTTGGCAGGGGGAGGCACAAACCCCTCAGGAAACTACAGAACCATCACAGGGGAACGATGATGGTACACATCCTGAAGCTAATAATCAACAACCTCGTCGATCTGAACGAGGTCAGATTCCATCAACTCGATACCCAGAAACCGAGTATATTCTACTTTCTGAAGATGGAGAACCAGAGAGTTTCCATGAAGCTATATCTCATACGGATAAAGAAAAATGGCTGCAAGCAATGACCGAAGAGATGAACTCTTTACAGAAAAACAACACTTATGAGATTGTGAAACTTCCACAAGGAAAGAAGGTACTGAAGAGTAAATGGGTATTCAAGCTGAAGAAAGATGGCAGCGGAAAGGTGGTGAAGCACAAAGCCCGGTTAGTAGTCAAAGGATTCCTACAGAAAAAGGGAATTGACTTTGATGAAATATTTTCACCAGTTGTAAAATTGACTTCAATCCGCATCATCCTTGGATTGGTAGCCAGTTTGAATTTGGAGCTTGAACAAATGGATGTCAAGACAGCATTTCTTCATGGTGATCTAAATGAAGAAATCTATATGGAGCAGCCGGAAGGTTTTGAGGTTTCAGGAAAAGAAAACCTCGTCTATAAGCTTACGAAAAGTTTATATGGCCTAAAGCAAGCACCGAGGCAGTGGTACAAAAGGTTTGACTCATTTATGGTAAGTCAAGGATATAAAAGGACTGCTGCAGATCAGTGTGTTTACATTCAGAGATTTTCGGATGGCAATTTTGTTGTACTTCTACTTTATGTAGACGACATGTTGATCGTCGGACAAGATGCAACAAAAATTAGACAGTTGAAGAAAGAACTCTCTAAGTCCTTTGAAATGAAAGACTTAGGTCCAGCTCAACATATTTTGGGATTGCAGATAACTCGAGATAGGAGAAACAAGAAGTTATGGCTATCTCAAGAAAATTACATTGAACGGGTGATCAAACGGTTCAATATGAGTAATGCCAAACCGGTAGGTGTCCCTTTGGCAAATCACTTCAAGTTGAGCAAGAGTTTGTGCCCCTCATCCAAGAAAGAGATTGAGGAGATGTCTACAATTCCATATTCTTCAGCAGTTGGAAGCCTGATGTATGCCATGGTTTGCACGAGGCCAGATATCGCACATGCGGTAGGTGTGGTAAGTCGTTTTCTTTCTAACCCTGGAAAGAAACATTGGGAGGCAGTTAAGTGGATTTTCAGGTATCTTAAAGGTACTTCAAAATCAAGTCTGTGCTTTGGGGGAGCTGATCCAGTCTTGGAAGGCTATACAGATTCAGATATGGCCGGAGATCCTGATGGAAGAAAATCAACCTCAGGATATGTTTATACTTTTGCAGGGGGAGCTGTGTCATGGCAGTCAAGATTGCAGAAGTGTGTTGCACTATCCACAACTGAAGCAGAGTATATTGCTGTAGCGGAAGCTGGAAAAGAAATGTTGTGGCTAAAGCGGTTTCTCCAAGAACTAGGGATAAATCAAACAGAGTATAAGATACATTGTGATAGTCAAAGTGCAATTGATTTAAGCAAAAACTCAATGTATCATTCTCGGACAAAGCACATCGACATTCGCTATCACTGGATACGCGAGGTGATGAATCAACAACTGTTGAAACTAGTGAAGATCCATACGAAGGAGAATCCAGCAGACATGTTAACAAAGGTGGTCACTCAAGAAAAGTTAGAGCTGTGCAGAGACATAGTTGGAATAACTTTCAAATAGTAGCTGCGTTGGAATGCAGCTGAAGGGGGAGAATTGATAAGTTCAGCTGCTGCCAACCACCAATTCTAGAAGCCCACCATTGTTGAAGCCACCAACCCATTCTAGAAGCCACCATTGTTGAAGCCTCCATTGTTGAATGAAGAATTCAACCACCAACCACCTTCTTTAAGGCTATAAATAGAGCCTTATGTTTTACACAGAAACATCAATCCAGAGAGATTGAAATACAATCCAGGAAGAGATTGTGAGAACAAAAAGAGAGTTTGGTGAGGTTTTTTGTAGAGAGAAATTCTTGGTGTAAATTCTCTATAATTCTATTCTTGTGAAATAGAGTTGTTTTTCCTCCCAAATAATCTTCATATTGATCCGAGAATCACAACAAGGCGTATTTCATTTTGTTGGTACATGATATTAACTTCGACGTATGACTCTAATCTAGTATAAGAGAAGTTCTTATTCTTGCTTCAAGCGTGTAGTTTCAAGCATGGTGTTTGGAATTTATTGCTCCGCTTAATTCAAATTCAAACTATGGAAGGTTTCAGAGCTTCCTGCCGAAGACAATTTTATTTTTAAGGCCTGAACAGAATTAACCCAAATAACACCCCATCCAATCATTAAAAACACTAAAATATCAAAGAAAAAGGCGTAGTTTAAGCGTGCATGCTAAATTGCGCCGCTCGGAAATGCGACGAAGATGCAACTGGCTGAATTTGTAGGAGCTAGCAGCAGCAGCGGTGGGCAAGGCTCGTGGACTGCTGATTTCAACTTTTATAATGGGGTGTTGAAAAATATTCCACTATGGGTGAGTTTTCCAAATTTACCTCTAAATTGCTGGGGTAAGTTCACGCTAAGTAGAATTGCCAGTGCATTAGGATGCCCGATATATGCTGATGAATGTACATCCAGTACAGCTAGAATATCCTATGCTAGGGTACTAATTGAGATGGAGTCATGTTTATAGCAGGATAGATAGAGTGATTGTAAATGCTCAATGGATGGCAGGAATGCCTCCAATGCAAGCACAAGTAATGGATCCTCAATTCTCAGACCATTCTCCTTTATGCATTGAGATGGAACAAATAGTGGATAATAGGAAAAGACCTTTCAAATTCTACAACTGTTTGGCTAATCATGAAGAATTTGGCAAAATTGTACAGGAAGGATGGAGATATAGGGGTAACAAAATGGAAGGCATATGGCAGAATCTAAAGAAGGTGAAAACTGCTCTTAAAACTTTGAATGGGAAAGAGTATGCTGGGACAACTAGAAAGGTCCAACAGATGAGACAGGAACTGGCAGATATTCAAGCACAAATGAGGCATACTACATCAACTAGTGACATGTTTGAAGCAGAAAAGAAGGCTAGAAAAGATCTTGAAAAATGGTGTATGATAGAGGAAGGTATTTACAAACAAAAGTCAAGGATACAATGGCTGAAGCTAGGGGATTCTAACACAACTTTCTTCTTTGCAAGTATGAAGGGGAGAACATCACAGAATCAAATCAAGATGATTAAAGATGAGGGTGGAAATCTAATAACAACTGATAGTGTAATTGAGCAGGAAGTTATTGGTTTCTATAAGAACTTACTAGGTAAGTCAGCAAACAGTCTACCTGCAATTGATCCTAATGTAATGAAGCAAGGTCCTACACTATCAAGGAAACAACAATTGGGCTTAATAGCTCAGTTCACAAATGAGGATGTATTCAAAGCTTTACAGGGGATTGATGATTCAAAAGCTCCAGGAGGTGATGGTTTTAATGCTTGTTTTTTCAAGAAATCATGGCATATAATTAGGCAGGATGTCACAACAGCAGTTCTTAACTTCTTCAAAGAAAATATAATGTATAAACCAATAAATAGCACTTCAGTTACTCTTATTCCGAAGGTGAAGAATCCAGAGTCAATCAAGCAATATAGACCTATCGTGCTGTACTATTCTTTACAAGATCGTCTCAAAAATGCTCACTAGTAGACTGCAAACTGTGATGGACTTTTTGGTTGATAAGAGTCAAGCAGGCTTTGTACCAGGAAGATTATTGAATGACAATATTCTGCTAGGACATGAGCTTGTAAAAGGATATTGCTGGAAAGGAGTCTCCCCAAGATGTATGGTCAAGATAGATATGCAGAAGGCATATGACTCTTTGGAGTGGGTATTTCTAGAGCAAGTGCTTACAGCAACGAACATACCTAGTCAATTCCTGAAGTGGATAATGACTTGTGTGTCCACTGTTTCCTATTCAATTATGATCAATGGTAAACCAACAGCTCCCTTTGATGCCAAGCGTGGGGTGAGACAAGGAGACCTTTATCACCCTACCTTTTTGTTTTAGCCATGGAATACTTGATAAGACTGATGAAGACTTTGAAAACACAAACCAGATTTCAATTTCCATCCAAGGAGCTAGTTCAGCTAAGCTTTGCTGATGATCTTCTACTTTTCTGCAGAGGTGATCTTATATCTACACAGATGCTATATGACTGCTTCCAGCAATTTTCTGCCTCATCAGGGTTGATTGCCAACCAAGGAAAGAGCTCTATATACTTTGGTGGAGTACCAATACAAGTTTAACAGCAGATTCTGAGCAGCTTGGGTTTCTTCATGGGATACCTGCCTTTTCGATATCTTGGTATGCCATTAAGTGTTAAAAGATTATCAGTAAATCAATGTCAACCACTCCTAGATAAAATACTAGCAAAAGTGCAACATTGGACAGCAAGGTTCTTGTCATATGCAGGTCGTTTGCAATTGATAAAGAGTGTGATGATAGCTATTCAATCTTTCTGGTCACAGATCTTTCCTTTGCCAAAAAAGATCCTGATAAAGATTGAAAGTATATGCAAAAGATTTCTGTGGACAGGGGAGACAGATGGGAGCAAGAAGGCTTTGGTTGCTTGGAAACAGTTATGCTGGCCAAAGACTGCAGGAGGACTGAACATAACAGATATAATCATTTGGAACAAAGCAGCAATTCTGAAGCACCTTTGGAACTTATGCAAAAAGAAGGATCGATTGTGGATTCAATGGATGCACACGTACTACATAAAGCAAGATATAGTATAGATTGTTAAAGCTAAACAAGCAGCATGGCTGACTCAAAAGATTCTAGGAGCTGGGAAATACTTGACAGAAGCTAATATCAATGTGGCAGAGGTGATGAATGGGAATAATTACTCCATTCGAGATGTCTATAATAAGCTAAGGGGTGAGTTCACAAAGGTCCCATGAAGAAGAGTGCTATGTAACAATGATAGCTGTCCCAAATGGCTATTCATTGTTTATATAGCCATACAAAGCAGATTATACACAAAAGACAAGCTTATGAGATGGGGGAGCATAACAAGTGCAGAATGTGTCTTGTGCGAGGAAAATGATGAGGATCATGAGCATTTGTTTTTTAAATGCAAGTTTTTAGCAACAATATGGGAAAGGTTACTAAAATGGGCTGGAGTAGGACGAGCTGCCAGGAAATGGAATGAAGAAATAAGCTGGGCCATTAAGTTTGCAATAGGAAGAAGAACATCGACAGCCCTATATAGATTGATGCTTGCAGGCACTGTGTATTACATATGGCAAGAGAGGAACTGGAGGATCTTTCGAAAGCAAAAAAGGAGAGCTGAGGATTTGGTTAGACTGATAATCCAAGACATTCATTATCGGGGTAGTATGAGAACTAGTTTAGAGGGAAAGTTAAAGTCCTTAAATTTTTATCCTTAGATTGCTATGTTGATACTGCTTAGCTGATGTAGTGCTTATATTTGGGGCTGTATGTCCAACTGTAAGGTAGAGATGGGTTTTTGTTCTGTAATTGTATTCATTTTCCCAGGTAATAAAATTTTAAATTACCAAAAAAAAAAACAGCCCATCCGATCACTTAAATAAAAAATAGCCGGGGCAGATAGTGATGGCAAAATGGTTAAAAGAAAACAGTTAACCACCCATATTATCCACTAAAAAATGAGTTGGATAATGAACTTTTCTAAAACGGGTCAAATATGGATAAGAATCATATTATCCATTTAAGAAACGGATAACCAATGGATAACTAATGAGTTTGACTTTTACATTTGTAAAACTTCAAATTGGGGGTTCCCCAAGTTTGGGAGACTAGGAATTTTCCCTAAAGTGATCATATTGATGAAGCCATGGATAATATGGTTACCCATATTATCCGCCGGTTAACCTGTTTTTATCTGTATTAAATATGTGTCGGATCGAATAATTTGTCCATTTTTTCATTACCCATTTCGACCCGTCCCATATCCGACCTGCCCGTTTTTCACACCTAGGTGGAGGTATAATATATGCATAATTATGTATTATATGTGTATAATTATGTATAATCAATGTATAATTTATGTATATGACTAGAAAAAGTATACAATGAATATGACCGGCTATTTGTGTAAGTGACAATTTGAGCTTAAACCCATTTGACCTGTATGACCCACCCATTTATTGAACTCAACCCATCTTAACCCAACTCATTTCAATCCGTCTAAAGTTGGGCTATTTTTTAGCCCAAATTGATCCATGGGTAACTTTGTTAAATATCTTTAAAATAATTTTTTTGTGTAATATGTTATATATGACCACAAAATTTAAAAAGTCTTATATAATTAAATAATTCATAAGAAAATAATACACATTAATTAAAGTTTGGTAAGAGTTGGACGGGTTGGGCTATGACCCAAATTTTAGCTCAACCCGTCCAAAATCAGTCTATTTTTGGGGTCCAACCATTTATTGACTCATTCCATTTTGACCCATCCAAAATCAGTCTAACCCCCCCCCCATTTGACACTTGATGACCCGTTCATTTATTGGCTCAGCCCATTTTGATCCGTCCAAAATCAGCCCAACCCGCTCATTTGACATCTCTATAACGAGGATGAAAGATTTTTTTTACCATTTTGCCACACTATTACAAGAGATCAAGTTAATATATGTTTGTTTAAGCCACAAGGGGAACTAGCGGCAATTTGAAACCTTTGAAAATTTCTGTTGTGCATTGATATAAATACTCTAAAAAAAGGCTCATTTCCATGGTTGCAAATGCCATTCCTTAATTTCCTCAAAACAGTTATAACTTTCCCTTTAAATTCCAACATCTTCCAACTTTATTAACTACCAACAAAACAAAGATAGAAACTCCAAACTCCAAATAATATAAAGTTTGACAAATATGGACAGAAAAATTCTTGCATTTTCTGTCCTAACAATCTTGGTTTGTTCTCTTCTTGTTAATGGCCAGGACCAAAAAAACAATGCAGTAACAAGCCAAAATCCAACACCAAAAGTGGTGTCAGGGACAAAAGATGCAGGAGAAGTAAATCATGAAGATGATGATGCTGGGATTGATTCACTCAACAGAAATTTCTATGAGAATGAAGAGTTTGGACCAGAGATCTTTGTTGCTGGTCATTAATTGATTCAGTTGTTCCTTTTTCTTTCTTTTTTCGACGTGAAACATAGATACAAATTTTTTAAATAAATAACCAATTAAATTTTTTGGATTGTAATGATGCTTGTCATTCTGTCTATTTGGACGACGTAAAGGGAAGAAAAAAAAGATAGAGAAATTCGGGGTCTGATATATTGATTATTTTCACTTAATTCTAATTAGATTCCTAATAAAATAAGTGGTTAAAGACATCTCCTAATGTTGTTTTACGATTGAAAGTGTGTTTAATAGTATTTACTTTACTACTTGACAAATGACATCTGGTACATTGCAAAAAATTGTACGTTGATGACCACACAGGTTACAGTCATAGGCTTATCAATGGATGGTGTCGCCTCAGTAAAATCTTACACGCACGGAGTGTTTATATCAATCCAATAAATACATAATATATATCTTCACAAACATAATTATCAATAAATCTTAATTAGTTAATCTACATTCTCACCATAATTATTAATTCGATATGGATGAATTTTTACCGTCCTAAAAGGTGAGAATTTTCCTGAAGTGATACAAGGGAAAAGTTGAATTTCTTTTAATTCTTATCAATAAATAACTTGGCATTTTAGACTGTAAATGTAAATTTTTTTCATTCTGTTGATATTGTAGCGCTTTTGCGTACTTGAGTTCTTTTCTGACATCTTCGAATGGAAGAAATAATTACAGCTACTTTAGAGTATTTCTAAAGATTTGAACATATATTATGCAGATATGTATTGCGCCATTCCAAAAGGAAATTTTATATCAATTTCTTGTACTAATGTCACGTTAAAATAGCACGAGCTAGCCAGTTTTTGGACTGATCATTCAAAAATAGCCAGCGTTTGCCAAGTCATTAAAAAATAACCACTATTTTGCTGCAACAGAGACCAGTCCAGCATAATATACTGGAGTTCGGTGCACCTGTATATGAACTTCCAGCATATTACGCTGGATCGTTATACTTTGTTGGCTCTAGTATAATATACTAGAGATTGGAGCACCGGTGCTCCAATCTCCATATATATTGCTGGACCGGTATATTATACTGGAACTCCAGTATATTATGCTGGAATATTTTTTCGGATTTTAAACAGTGTTTTCATTCAGATTTATCTTTACATGAAAAGTGGCTAAATTTCGATTACTTTTTAAACTACCACTTATAAATTTGGCTATTTTTGAATTTCTCCCTAATGTCACATAACACCTTGCTAGAATCCGCTACGTTTTCGCAACTACTTTGTAATTTACCTCCTCAGATAATAATATTATTCAATCCATAGGCGGATCTAGTGCAAAGGTTACGGGTTCACGTGAACCCAATAACTTTTTTTACTAAAAATTCCTTAAATGTGAAAAATATTTAGCTCGGAATCCTATATGTTGGTCCGGTTATTATTGTATATTAACTTGACATTGATGTAGCAACCCATAAACTTAAAATCTTGAATCCGTCTGGTAAAGATCCGCTAAAATTGCAATAAATACTCTAGATACGAACCCGTAATTAAAAATATAATGAGTTCAATGCTAAAAATCTTAAATGTTGAACACATAAAATTTTATCCCAGATTTCGCCTTTGAACATAATACATACAAGCATGTGCAACCAATGGCGGATCTAGAGTGCAGTTACTAGGTTCCCGTGAACCAGTTAAAAAATCTACTAAATATTTATAAATATCTAACTGTAAACCCAATTATTATTGTATATTAATTTGAGATTACGACAGGAACCCATATACTTTAAATTATGGATCCGCCTCTGAATTTCAATCCCAAATTAGTTAAAATCTACTAAGTGAATCCTATGAGAGTAATAACATTATGTTATTGTAATAACCGCATTAAACAAGCTAATAAGAGAACCAACTCAACTTGTAGTACAAATGACGTCATGTTATCTTTATTATTTCATCAAATACAATTGCTTGAACCTCCTATAAGGATGTATATACAAGAAAACAGAAAATATCAGAATATAATATACAGCATAGAACAAATGCCCAAATGCTACACACCATAAGAATGTGTTCGTCCTTTTTCAGCTTTCTCACATACAAATGCATCATTTTACATAAGGTACAAGTTCACTAGGGGTTGCTCTGATGGCAAGCAACCCCCACTTCCAACCGAGAGGTTGTGAGTTCGAGTCTCCCCAAGAGCAAGGTGGGAAGTTCTTGGAGGGAAAGATGCCGGGGATCTATTTGGAAACAGTCTCCCCAGACCCCACTAAGTGGGATTATACTGTGTTGTTGTTGTTGTACAAGTTCACTAGGGGTTGCTCTGATGGCAAGCAACCCCCACTTCCAACCGAGAGGTTGTGAGTTCGAGTCTCCCCAAGAGCAAGGTGGGAAGTTCTTGGAGGGAAAGATGCCGGGGATCTATTTGGAAACAGTCTCCCCAGACCCCACTAAGTGGGATTATACTGTGTTGTTGTTGTTGTACAAGTTCACTAGGCAATGGAGGTTTCAAGGGAAGACTTGGCAAGCCACAATAATCCTGGATCATTCCTTTTGAGGACCAAATAAGTTTCCATTCTACCAGTGTTATCGATAACAGCGTCCTCACTGAATCCAATCACAGACAGGATGTCCATAGCAGCTGCAACCACAGAGCGCAAAGCAAAATTAGTATTTACAGCTAAGGATGGTCTGCAAGCAAAAAGATACACGAAGCTGCGAAGAGAAGGAAAAGAAACACCAATGATCAAGAAGCATACAACTATGTCGTGTACGAGTAATTTCACAAAAAGATAAACGATGTGGGGATAATGACGTCGATACAATTCATTTATGTTGCATATTCATGGGGTCACCAAATATGTTTTGAATCTCCGCAAATACCATCTATCATAACAAGTACCATAAAGCAACAAATTCACCTAAATAGAATATCAATTTGATACCAGACCTCAGCCTTGGTCAATTAAACTAGCTTGTACATCAATTTGAACCTTACCACCACTGATCTTTTACCAAAATGTTAAGCTCATGGAACGAAAATTGCAATTCACACCCTTAAATATAAAATTAGGGCTCGAGTGAAAATTCATGCTTCACGAATTAACAGAGTGGTAAATTGTCTTGCAAAATTGGTAGCACATCGATAATATACAACAGTGTACTGATTTTTATAATATATACAACAGTTACCAATTCAAAAAAAAATTTGCAAATTGAAAGATCCCAGTGTTTCATAAAGTGTGATTTACAGCCGGAAGTCGTTACCTGATAAAGAGTAAAAGCTTTATTAATATGGAGTTCACGTGTGTAGATTCAGGGAAAGTGGACCAAGGGAATCTCAGATAAAGAGAAAATTAACAATATTGGATTAGGAAGCATTGCTGAATGCTCTCTGAAGGCAACAAGGAAGTACAGGAATGGAGAAAGAGAACTGTTGGAGAGGGAATTTTGCAGAAAGATAAATAAATTGCAATAGATCTGGAAAATCATGTACCTGGATAACTCACCACATCCCTCTGAATAAGAGAATTGGCCTGCAATCAATTGTGATGAACAAATTAAGATTAAATCCACATAAAGGTAAATCAGCTAAGACCACTACATCAAATCACAGACCTTCCGCAGCTTTCTGAATTTCACTTCATCTGGGTGTTCAATTACATTCCTACAAACAATTGTATCGCCAACTTCAATCCAAACTTCATGAACGATTAAAAAAAATGGAAATTGAATATCAATGTACCTTATAATTTTTACTATAGTTTGCACTACTCTAGAGGCCTCCAGGGGATCGGCTTGAGATCTCAGTACCCCTATTGCTTTCTGCAATCGACTGCAAACAATCGCTACAGGGTCTTGTATCCTCTGTAATTCCTGGTCATCTGGATCAGGCTCATCGATCAATGTACTTGAAATTCCATCCGACATTATATCCTTATCATTAATATATGGCTCTACCAGCTTGATTTGTTCAGGAAAATCATCTCGATTGGTGTGTGGAAAAGATCCACTCTCTTCCTCATTTACATGGTACCCCACTGAAACATGGCTATTTTGACCAGACATTACTTTCTTTTCAATGCCCATAGCGTGTTCATCAGGATCAGGTTCCAAAGAAATGGGACTTCCTGCATTGTGTTTTTCTGAAGAGCAATCATCCGGGTCAGGTTCTTCACGTAATTTAGCTTCCAAAAGGGGCGGAAGGTTTCTCATTTTATGATCATCAGAATCGAGTTCTGTACTAGGCTCATGTTTCATGGGAGAGCCAGCCTCATAATCATCAGGATCAGGTTCAGATTTTCTTTGACCATCAGATGAGACATTAGCACTAGATACACCATTGCATTTCCCCAAAGTCTCTACTTTTGGATCATTTAGTTGCTTTTCCACTAGAGCATCCGTATGATTGGATTGCGGACGAATATCAAGTGAATTGCCAGAATTAGATTCCTGATCCATATCAGTTGCTTCTGAGTGGTTGGTGGATGCCTGTGCTAAACGGCTGTAGGCAGCAGCCACTGAAGATGCTCGAGCATTGAAAATTGAACTTTGTCCTCCAAGCTTATGTGATAAACCCGTGTGATTATCACTGTCCTCGTCTTCTTCATAGTGTTGCAAACTGCCACCACTCAATGTATGGCCTCTTGACTTGGTCCAATCCAACTTAGCAGCTTCTTCATTGAGCTGCCACAAAGATCTAATCTTAAATCTAGTGCACATTTAACAAGAATATTGCAGAGACAAGCAGAACAAATCTAGTTTAGGGGCTAAAAACAGACCGTCCCAGTTTTTTGCCTAAATATTTATTGAACTCCTTGCCACTGAGGAAGCAAAGAATGAAAAACTGGGAGTATTATCATTTTACCTGCTTATCCAAAGCATAGAAGTTAGCATCATGTTCAGAGTGTACCATGTGTGCCTGAAAATGGAAAAATATAAGTTAGGAACACAGAAGAATCACTCATCATTAAAACATAGACTAACTTAGCCTTTCAAATATGTTTTAATTGGAAAATAAAGGTTGAGAGAGGATCACCCACAAGTTCATGCAAGAGAGTCTTCTTGATGCTATCGTACTTCCTGAAACCCTTGAGGTCATCTGTACGAAGACGTAGTGATATCTCCTCTCCATGATTCTGAATATGATTTTTGACAGAAATTATCAAGATTTTTTTAAATGGAAGAGAAAACATCATCTTAGAAAATCAAAAACTAATGGGGCAATAATTAAAGAACTAGATGATGAACCATGAAAGTCATGGGTGCGTTATTATGTATGTTATCCTGTTCTGTATCTACTTCTTTAGGGGAGAAAGGAACTAGGGTAGGGGTTGCTCACCTTATTGAAACCAAGAATGCATTTAGGACTAACACCAACATAGCCTTCTGGCGCCATTTCTGTCATGATACCCACACGCCAGCGATGCTTTAAGAAGCCCAATGAACGATAGTTTACCACAACTGATAGCACATACCAACAAAGTAATTCATACGTAATTATTAAGCTGAGATATGATTATCTTTCTGGACTTACCTTATTCATGATTGCAACTATTCCTAGATCAGCAGCAAGCTTGTGCATTAGTTTTAAAGCTTTTGAAGCAGGAGGATTCAACTGCAGCCAAGTGAAGACTACATCAATTGGTTGTCAAATAAACCTACTTGTAAAAGTAGACTCTATGAATCATACGTGTCCATTCATAGGATTCATCATAGTTAGACTATTTGTACACTGGAAATCAACCTATTGCAATTCTTCTCCATTACCGGCTATGCTTGGTCACATGTGCGGAGTTGCCCCCAAAAAGGAGATTAAATTTCAAAAATTTCATAAACAAGTGGCAACATTGTGATTCCACTGTCAAACAATACAATCTCTCGATAACTACTTTTTGTTTTGAATAAAAACAAGATAATAAAACAAAAGTAATACCAACATTTCTCTAAAGGCAAAATACACCTGCATATCCTCAAGAGGACAATAACAGCCAAGACATACAAAAGCATGGAATTGTTCACTTCAGATTTACAGAATCACCAAATACAGTATTAAGAAGCTGTATTTCTTGCCAGCATGATCAGCACATCTCGAAATGCAATTAAAGTGAAGGGAAAAAAATAGATATTGCAGTAACTCACAGCTAATCTATTAACACATCATTGTTCAAAGGGATAGGTGTTAACAAAAACTAATGAGCCAAACAATTAAATAATCAATTAAAAAATCTCTCTTTGAATAATAGAAAACAAATCTTGGTTTACAGCACATATTTATCCTAAAACAACCAATCTTAGACTTCATATTACAATGGAAAACTACAAATATCAAGATAATGACTCAATCTCTCAATCCTCTTTATCTGAAGCAAACTGAAAAATTGGAGTGCAATAAATCTACTCATTGTCACACCGATTTTACACAGAGAGTAACAAGTAATATCATTACTAAACCCTCTACTCTCTATCCAACCGGACCCATACATCTTTTGCATTAAGTATCAGGTTACGAAACCCCAAACTCCAATTACATGCTGAATCTTGCCTCAACAAATTTCGGGAGAAACCTACACGTTCCCTTCCCCATTGGCCACCCACCCGTTACACTAATCACATCACAATAACCCTGGCAAAAGTAATAGATTTGTCTCGGTTCGGGGAGAAAAATGGACTGTGTGAGAAAGAAATCCTTCATATAATCCATGAAACTCAAATAAAAAGATGATGCCCAACTACTTATCCAAGAGGAAAAGAAAAAAGAAGGATAATCCCCAAAACGAGAAGGGCACAAAAATAAAACAAAAATAAGGAAGAACACCAGTAAAAGCACAAGTAGATGCAATAAGGAAGAACACCAGTAAAAGCATAAGTAAACAAAATAAGAAAGAACACCAGTAAAAAAATAAGGAAGAACACAAGTAAAAGCACGAGTAAACGGAACAGACTTCTGTGGCCTCAGCACTGCAAAAGAAGTAAAAAGAGTAGCAACTAACTTCCTGAAACACAAGGTGGTCTGCTAGATGGATACCAAATTGGTTACAGACAACTAATGAATAATCGCAGCATATGAAATACCGCCAAACATTCAAAAGCAGATAAGTCAAGCCTCTCCACACAACTATCCTTGTTCTCCCCATATATGAACATAAAGCTTCATAGGTTTTTTCCTGTAAATATTTTACTCAACCTGTTTTTCAAAGTGATATAATGCTGAATGAAAAGTCAATATCCATTCTGATACAAAATTTCTAACAGCAGAAAACCAAGTGTGAGAGCAATGTTGTCTTTATATGTCAGTATTTTTTCGCTCAAAATCCAGATAGTTAGAAACGTTATTTTACTCATTGTCTTCGATTCTTAGAATGCCAGTATTAGGGTTGTTTTAGTACTATCTTTCGCTTCGGTTTTCTAGTACCCTGTCGTGTTACTGCTTGTGGCTATTACTTTTGCTATTGCTATGGCTACTGCTTTCTTCCATTTATTTTTTCTCCGGTCCTTACATTGTTGATATCATTTTCCTGGCCTTCTTGTTGTTATTTACTTGTTCCTATTCTTCCTCTCGAGCCGAGGGTCTTTGAAAACAGCCTTTCTGCCCTCCAGGATAAGGGTAAGGTCTGCGTACACATTACCCTCCCCAAACCCCACTTGTGGGATCCCACTGGGTTGTTGTTGGTCAGACTGCATTTTTCAGTTTCAACTATAGGGAAAGATAATGGTTACATTTTAGAGCTAGCTATACCTCTACACCTGGAAGGTGAAGTGTCCGAAAATCACAAAAGACATAAGGCCCTTGTGGAAGTTTTAGTGAACTTTGAAGCCCATTTGAGATTCTTTGCCTCAATCTCTTTTCCTCTTCATCAAAACCCACAATCCTGAGGTCTGTCTTTGCACTCTGTAAAATGTCATCTACTTCATCTTTGGGCACTCCCAACATCCGAATAGACTTCCCCTGAAATAAAAAACCATAGGAATTAGTCATTTAAGCCCAAAAAATAGTCTGGAAGGTTCGGCTTAAAGAGTATGTCAAGTTACTTAGGCTTTTCAATGTTTGGAAATGCAGAAATACCTAATAATACACTATGTGAAAAGGTTAAAATAAAAAAATATTCACCCCAGAAGGTGATTATGTCTTTAAGAATTGCCAACTCTTCCACAAGCACAAGAACTATGGTATACATTTTTCTTTCTATACGTTTAATGTAACAGACAAAGCCATAAATATGACATAATATTCAGGAAAAAGTTCACGTGGCAGACAGTTGTACAAGATTCTACATAATGATAAAATTTTCAATAGAATTGATGTTTGAAATAAAGAGGGTTCATGACACATACATAACCTTTTTAAAAGAATTCGAAACTCAGAACCATGCCTTAATTTTTGTCATATTTCATAAAGAACTATACACGACTCATACGGACACATAAATGAGGAATAGAGAAGAAACCATGTAGACAATATGTAGAATCATCCCTCCGCTGTATAACGCAGTCCATTTTTTTCAGACAGATTTATATTAAACAAGGAGACACTGACCATACAGGAATCAATTTCATCAATTTTATTTAGCCATTAAAAGTTTAGGTTTAACAAAGAAGTAAATAGAAGAAGAATTCATTTCAGAATAGAAGTACGGTCAAACCGTCAAATCTGCGGAAACGTATTTTTTTGCGATGTGCCTTGGGAAAAAAAAACTTACGGCTACAACTCCTTCAAGTCAGATTTTGTAGGAAAAGCCTACTTCCAAGAGTGGAAAATGCTACATGATTTCCTATATTCATCAAGCTAACTCTCAAAAAATAAAGTGTCAAATTGAGATGTTTAGCAGAATAATCAGCAATAGCATATAAAATAAGAGGACAAACACATCTGTCAAAATTAAGTGCCCAAGCATACAAAAACCCAAAAGCTCTATCCAGTCTTCAAGTAGACAGCCAGTTTAACAGCTATTTAGTATAATACATTCACAAAAAAGAGCAGAAACTAAAAAAAAACACCTTGAGGATGGACACTGCTTCCAATTTTAGACAGGAGTGCTCTTCAGAGAAAGGATACAAAAGCCTTGAACTTTTATTAGTAGGCACAATTAGCCGCAATGTATCATCTCTGACATTGGTGAGATTCAGCAATTCATCCCCCAATGATTTGAAAGTAGCAGTTGGATCCATCTCCAGACTAAACTTCTTCCCTCTCCATAAAACAGACAAGTGACATGTCTCCTGCTGCTGCATGGGTTTCTTTATCTAATAAAAGCATACAAGTAAGCCGTCATCAAAAACACAAACTTTAGCTAGTCTTAAATAGGAGAACCACAAGTATCAACCAATTTGTTCCTCTTTTAAAATATTTTCTAGTATAATTGCATTCTGAGCCTTCTGGCACAAACAGTATTTTGAATCCTATCTATCGAAGCTAGAGGCTGCATCTTTTATGGCATGGAAGTTACAGTTTAGGCCGCTAAGGATAATCCGGAGGACTGAAGGTAAGTCAACAACCAAATGCATTTCTAGTAAACTCTGCTAATAATGCTTTGGGACACCAGAATCAAAGTACCATGTCGAACGTTAGCTCAAATCAGCTTCTGAATTTTTCAGTTCGAAAAAGCTGAAAGTCGACCACTCAATGGAAACAGGAGCATCCCTTTCGATACGAACAAGTGGAACAATCTTCTCATATCGAATTCAAGTTGAATTAAGTTCCACCTCTATGGAATGAGCAGATAATCAGTCGCAGAAAAGCTCCACAAGTCCAACATTTGAGAGAAAAAGCATGCTACTTACTCTTAATCTAAGTTGATCCCCAACTAGTTTTATTGTGGTATAGATATCGTTCCACTTTATGTGGCAAAATCAAGAACCAATGGAATATCTAGTAGGTTTCAAAACAAAGAATATCACAATTCTTCATTGGACCCATAATTTTACTATGGTTACAATCCATTAAAGTATATACTCAAAAAGTTAATGAAAACTGGTCTCTGGAACACCTTTTTCCCATTAATGTATGAAAGGGGAAGGCTCTGTACAGTACTTTGTGCACAAAGTGAGCCCTTTTTACAATATTTGGATTTTTTTTCTCCTGTTTTCCTTATAGTTTTACGCACCCTAGGATCACATCAACAACTGAAATGCTTAAAATCTTTTTGTTTCCAAGATCACTAGAAATTTGGGTACAACTGCATCGTGCATCCACAGATTTCAACAATTTTCTAATCATCAACCTTTAATAGAAAATTTTAACAATTAAGAAAGTAAAATTTGGGGAGAGCTGGAGTTGGACAGAGGTTTCTACTCTATTGTGGTAACGCTTTATTCATTGTTTTAAAAATGAAATGAGCAACGGGGGTTAAAAAAAGCAACATAACTCCTAAATTTTTAGGTAGAAATCAATATGCTCCTACAGCCAACTCCAACTTGTTTGGGACTGAGGCGTAGTTGTCGTTGTTGTACTCAACCTCAACTCCACGCCTACATTTCAGCAATTCCAGTAGAAGAAGTGATATTCAGCACATGTTTCTATGATGCCTTCAGTATTCACAGTAGCTGGTTTGAATACCTTAAAATATGCAACTTTGTCAGAGATGATGATCCAGTCACGCTATTGTCAGAGATGATGATCCAGTCACACTATTGTCAGAGATGATGATCTAGTCACAATATTTTTCATGCCCCAACCTTAGACTGAAAAAGAAGAGAATGTAGCCATCTGGAATGAGTTAATTCTTGGATTTTTTTTTCACAACTCCTAGTGTCAGAGATGATGATCTAGTCACAATATTTTTCATGCCCCAACCTTAGACTGAAAAAGAAGAGAATGTAGCCATCTGGAATGAGTTAATTCTTGGATTTTTTTTTCACAACTCCTAGTGTCAGAGATGATGATCTAGTCACAATATTTTTCATGCCCCAACCTTAGACTGAAAAAGAAGAGAATGTAGCCATCTGGAATGAGTTAATTCTTGGATTTTTGTTCACAACTCTTGGACTGTTTAAGCCTGCTCTAGTCTTACAATTACCGTTGTGTTGCAATCAATCCCAACCTCCTCCTCATCCTTTTGCACTTAACAATACGCCATGTGATCATGTTGAAATTTCAACACATATTTCTCCAATCTCCAGATTTAAGATATTTGTACTAATAGTGTAGTGATAATGTGATTTTTAAATAAGCCCCCATTAATTAGAGAACCCCTAATTCGCCTAGAGACAACTATTAAGTACTGGAATATAATGAATCCCAAAGAGAGCATAATGATACAGCAAATTTATATAGCCAAATCCGATTAGTTTGGGGTTGAAACATAGTTGATTGGTCGATTTCATGAATACGTCATTCATGTAAACTAACGCTATGGAGAAGTCAGTTTATCCCTTCCTTAATAAATGTGTAATGCTCAAAACCAAATTTTCTATCTTGTTAAACTAGCTATCTCTTTCAGACCTCAATCCGGTACTATTCCGTTGTCAATCCAATTACCAACCACCCTAAAGACTGAATTAGTTATCTCTATACCAGGAATAACTGATAGCTCTATAGTTTCCCTCTTTAAACTAAAATATTAAAAGTTGAATTGACAAGATACCTAAAAAGTAACAATATCCCAATTATTATTTTATGATGGTTGTGTCCGGACCAGCTTGCAGGCACCTCCACTATCTCACTGGGTACCTGCTACCTCCCACTAGCGCAGCTATTGGATAACAATATCCCAATTATCAATAATCATCAAATCAACTACAACTCAATCTCAAACTAGTACTTTCCCCGTTTTCAAAAAGAATGAACCTATTACTATTTGGGGAGTCAAACAAGATTTTCTTTCACCATATGTTTTCCAAATAGTTGTTAAATATTTTGAATTGTTAACTACTATGACTTTACTTTCTATATAGTTTCTAAATATGTAAATTTTAGAAACTTAAAAGAATCTATGTCCGAATTCAAATTAGTCCATTTGAAAATCATACTCCAAAAAGGTTCAAACAAATTGAAACAGAGGGACTACTATTGGGTCAACTATATGAATCACATGTATCCATTCCACTTCACTTTATTTTCAATAGATACAAATGATTTATCATTATTTAAATATTTTTATAATTCCATCCTCCTTTATCTGCCTTAGGCCAATTATACTCTCAAAACTCAACAAAGCTGAAGTTATATACCAGAAAATGATCGGATAGTTAAGTACTTTGCATCCAAAAAATGCGGAATGAATCGGAATAAACCTCAAAAATTCCCAAATATAAAGCAGACTTGTTCCTAAAAATCATTTTAATTCATAAGCTGCAAATTTAAGTAGAGAAATTAAGAAAAATTCTTACCTTTTGATCGGTGATTTACGGGAATATTTGATCGCAAACAGAAGGCCAATTTCGTTAACAAGGGGCGATACAAGTTAGAAATTTATGTGGGATCGATTTTAGCGTGAGCGGTGGGTGTTCTCTTGCCACGCAAGTGCTGGCGTAAATTGACACGCGAAAGATCTAGAAGTCATGGCTTTGGCAATAAAGTTGAGCCTCTTTCCTACTACAAAAAAAAAAAAAAAAAGGTAGTAATAAAATATGAAAAATATATTTATTTATCATACTTTTAAGTTAAGATTAAATGAAAAGATCCATAAATGAAAGTGATTAATTCTCATAAAAGTTAAAATAAACAATTAAATATCTTGTATTATCACTTACCGTATCACGATATCACTTACAGCCTGAGGCGAATCAGTGCTGGGAGGTGGGGGGTCATAATAGTTCGCAAAGGTCAGAATCTTCGACATATGAGGAGTCCAACTCCTGATGATGCGGATGATGAACACGTTGTTGAAACGGTCAAAATCTCGAGAGAACAACAAAGAGCGATTATGGATCACCTCTCAAGACAAGATTAGGCGATAACAGAGTTGAAGCATGCGTTATCAGGTGCTTCTAATGATGCTAATGAAAAAGCTCTGATTCCTCCCGCGCAAATCAAGATGTTCAAAGAGTCAATAACGACGCTCCAAGGGAGGAGCTTGGTTTCAACGAGGTAGGAGGTACCGGTAGTGGATTTGGGGATAATAACTCAAATAACCCTTTCAAAATAGAGCTCATAATATTCATGAAGGAAATGAATGAACGAATGGACCAAAATACTAAAAAAGTTTCATGCTCAGATGGATCAGATCCCGGGAGCACCGCCAGTGTTAAAGGGACCGGATTCCAAGAAGTATACATAGTTGTCGTTTAAACCAAGTGCAACTCAGGAGTTGATCCTAAAGAGGTTTAAGATGTCAGATATACCAAAATAAGATAGGACTTCGGATCCATGGGAACACATTACGACCTACACTACGGCAATAAAGGGAAATGACTTCGACCATCACGAAATTGAATCTGTTTTGTTGAAGAAGTTAGGTGAAACCCTGACAAAGGGTGCCTTAACTTGGTATTCTCTCTTACCTGAGCAATCCATTGATTCTTTTGAAATGCCTGCAGATTCTTTATCAAAGCTCATGCTGGAGTAAGAAATGTCCAAACAAGGAAGGCAAATATATTCAGAATATCCCTAGGAGAATCCGAACTGTTGCGAGAGTTAGTGATCCAGTTTCAGAAATAAAGAATGTTATTACCAGTGGTACCTTCGGGGTAGGGGTAAGGTCTGCGTACACACTACCCTCCCCAAACCCCACTAGTGGGATTTCACTGGGTTGTTGTTGTTGTATTACTAGTGGTACCTGATGAGTGGGCAGCGGAGGCATTTACAAAAGGTCTCAATTCATTGAGTTTCGATGTTTCTCGAAAATTGAAGGAAACAACAACAATAACAACAACAACAACTCAGTATAATCCCACTTAGTGGGGTTTAGGGAGGATAGTGTGTATGGAGACCTTACCTCTACCTTGGGGTAGAGAGGTTGTTTCCAAATAGACCCCCGACATCCTTCCCTCTAAGAACTTCCCACCTTGCTCTTGGGGAGACTCGAACTCACAATGAAATTGAAGGAAAGCTTGCTAGAATTTCAGGCAACCACATGGCAGATGTTCACAATCGCTACGAGTCAAAGAATCGGAATAGAAGATGATCAATTGGGTTCTTCGGTGTCTTTTAAAGGACATAATCATGATCAGAATCAAGATAAGTTCAAAAATGCTTTTGATGCAGATCGAAGGTCCTTTAGAAGTTGTGTTCAACCTTACGAGAAGGTCGATAGGCGTGGAAGTAAAGGTTTTCAGTCATCAGATAGGTTCACTTCTGATAGAAGTGCGGATCATGGTTGAAATAGCAGATCGTTATAGGAGAAAGAGACGTCGGGGTCTCGAGCAACATATCTCAGATTATCTGACTACAATTTTAATATCATCTTGGTAGAATTAGTGTCGGCTATGAGAAATATTAAAGAAGCTAGGTTCCTAGAACCAGTTCGATCGGATCCTAGCCGAAAGGATCCTAATCTATAGTGTGAATTCCATATAAATCACGGTCATAGGACTGGGGACTGTCGACATCTTCATGAAAAGGTAGCAACGTTGTTGAATAATGGTCATCTCAGAGAGTTATTGAGTGACCGTGCCAAGAAAAACTATGGGAGAAATCGGGATGTTGCAAAACAATCAAAATCGGTTACAGGTTCACTTTGTATGACGACAAACATGATCTTCGATGAAGAAGAAGTAAATGGGGTGACATTTTCGGCGTAAGAGGGTCCGAGGTCTCAGAAGATAACATCACTTTCACAGAAGAAGATGTTGATGGACTTCTTCTGTCGCACAATGATGCTTTGCTAGTTTCTCTTAATGTTTTAGATTTTAAAATTAAACTTATGTTAGTTGATCCAAGAAGTTCATCCAACATCATACAATTGAGAGTTTTTGGAGCAAACAAAGCTGACCGAAAATATAGTTCCGGCAACAAAGTTTTTGGCCGGGTTCAACTTAACTAGTGTGACAACTCGAGGAAATATTTTGCTGCCCACACATGCCGAAGAAGTAACAAAGACCACCCTGTTCAAAATGGTAGCTGGCGAAATGGGCTATAATGTAATCCTTAGAAGTCCATGGATACATGAAATGAAGGTTGTACCTTTAGCATACCACCAACTGTTAAAATTTTCAACACCAAAAGGGATCAAACAAATCAGAGGACATCAACCGGCTGCAAGGGAGACGAACGCAGTAATCGTTACCAGTAGACAAGGAAACGAGCAAATAGCAATTAAGGAACTGATGCCTTCTTTCACATCTATTGAAGATGAGGAGTCACTAAAATTAGATTAGGTACCGAGGTCTTTTCAGGTACCGAGGGATACGGATGCGACCAAATCAATTCTAGAAGAGATCGAACAAGTGGTCTTGCTCGAAGAGTTCTTGGAAAGAAAATTCCACTTAGGAACGGGGTTGAGTCCCGAACTCATGTTAAAAATAATAATTTTTTAAAATCTAACATTGATCATTTTGCATGGCTGCATTCTGATATGACAGGTGTCACACCTCCTTTTTCACTACACCCGCAAGGGCGTAAAGGAGTTTTTCCACTTAAAGGACAATCGGAACAGGATTTATTATTAATATTCAGAGTCGCCACTTGGGAGATTAATGGTGTCCCAAGTCACTGGTTGAATCCCGAACCGAGGAAAGTATTACTCTATTAACAGTCCACGAACCAGAAATCCGAATAAGGAATTCTATTAACCCGGGAGAAAGTGTTAGGCATTCCCAGGTTCCGTGGTTCTAGCACGGTCGCTCAACTATCGTGTTTAGCTTATTATCCGATTCTATTCCTGATGAATCTATGTGCTGATTTTTACTTTTAAACCGCTTTTATTTAATATTTTTTAAAGAAAGATGAACGTCGTTTAAAGCATGCCTTCGGATCGCATCACATGAAATGCATCCGCAATCCTGAACACACTTTATTCAACGTTTTGGGATTTGATTTGGGTCACATGAAATGCACACCCGAATTTAGGAATGTAATTTTATTAAAATCGTGCCTAAAGTGGCTAACACGTTATTATCTTTGGGGAGGGCCGTGAAATTCGCTAAACAGCCCATCCCGAAGTCTAAGTATTTTAACACACCCATTTATTGAGGGCCCCGCAATTTATGTATTTTTGTTCGGCGAGGCTCATCTCATTTGTTATTTAAAAGGCCCACCTAAAAGCAACTATAATTTTCTACCTTTTATTTGTCTCTAATGAAGAAAATTCCTACTTAGTTAATATGTGAAGAGTCCAAAACTTCCTAATTCAATTTGACTCATCGAGCCCAGAAATACAAAAAAAGGCAGACAATTTGGTAAGGAAATTAAAACGGCCTGGGCTCCATTTTAAAATAAAGGAACCAACTAATTTGAGGCCATGATAAGCCCAGAAACATAATGGCATGCCGGTACTCGATCCAAAGACCATTCTAAGTGTTTTGAATCATTTAACAATGCATATAGGCCAACAACAATATTATTTTAAGGGCGAGACATGTTTATTGCTTCAGAATTCAAAACTGAACAAAATTTCTTAAACTAAATCGTATTCTGATTGTTCGACCAAGAAGTCCTAACAGGCCTATATATATCCATTCATATACTAATAAACTAGCATGCTAATATCTAACACAAACAGTTTTATTACAGTCCAATTATCACAAGTTATACAAATGTTTCCAATCATCCAATTCCTTACTACTACTACTAGGCAACTAAAATTCAAATTAACACGACATAGAACAAATTGACATCAAGTTAACACGATCTAGATTTCATTTCCTCAATTGACCAATACACATAGATTCAGTCCTTCAACATCAAATGAACCTGGAAAAGTACCTGGAAGTCGAGAGAAAATAGAAGAAGAGGTCAGCTACAGCAAATACAGTGTCAACCACAAATCACAGCAACAGCGAATTGACGATCGAAAACAGCTCAGAAAACAGAATGTACAGCCCAGAATAATTTTCAGAGAAGAAACAGCACCGATAGTAGACCAAATTCACTTGCAGAAACCCAAAGAGACTCAAAACTACTCCCAACACAACTTCTGAAGCTAACAGTCAACCAAATAGCCCAAAATAGACTCAGCCAACCAACTACAACTCGAAATCACCCAAATAAACTCGAAGATGAACCCAAAATACTTCAACAGACAATGACTCAACCCAAACCAGTTCAGTTATGCCCAAAATCACTCGAATCAAGGCAACAGAGCACTCCAGAGGCTTTTAAAAACTCGAATTTAGAATAGAAATGAAGACATTTGAATAGGAATTTGAAAAGGATTCCATTGATTTTTTTTGATTTTTGAATGTTTCAATTGTTTTTGATTTTTCTTTTAAGGAAAACTAAGATCTAAAAGTAGTTTTGAGCTGAAATTTGAATTCTTAGGTCTGCAGGCTTGAAAAGTGTTTTGGGGGAATTTTATGGCTGCCAAAACTTTTTTATTCAAGGCATGCCAATGCCATTTTATAGGCAACATGAGGCAGCCTTCAGATTCTATATTTGCACTCTAGTTCCTGTGTTATTTTCAGTTCAGTCCTCAAGTTTTTAACTTGTTACTCAAGTTATACTATCTATTTTCTGATTTTTCAATTTAAACCCCTTCTAGAATATCCTAGTGAGTTCTAGTTTCCTCTCCCATGTTCTAAACTACCCCGGAGTTACCCCTTTATTTCTGAAAAATTACTAACCTAGATTAATAGGGTCTACTAATAGTTACCAAAGAAGTGTTAATCAAAACAAACTAACTACCCTCAAACACTAACTAATTATGATGAACCTTATAATGAACTGAAACCACATAATGAATCAAAGAGTTATTGACAACACACTAACTAAACTAACTAACACCGATTTAATCAATTAAATAAAAACAAAAACTAAAAGTGAAAGTCAAAGAGAAAGACGACTAATAACCAATCTGAAATTAAAAGCAAACTAACTAAAATTTAGACAAATAAACAATTAAGAATCAGAATTAGAAGAGAATTAACAACAATTAAGACACACATTGAACTGGAAATTAACAATTAAGAAAAATAACAGCAAAAGAAAAGGAATACACCAAGAAAAGAAAACTCACTAATATTGACACGATTTCATAAAAAATCAGGCTAACTGAAAGTTCAACTCCGGCCATCTCCGGTGATATTTGAAGTCTTTTGACACTGAATTCCTCATGAGGGAAGCACAGGGACCCTATGGTACTAATTTGGTAAGGATTGGATCATTTAGGGTTTTGGCCGGAAAGTTTTAAAATTAATAATTGAACGGTTCCGTCCACATTCGAGGGTCAGGGCCTTGGGGATTCGATAGAGGACACGGATGCGATCTTATGGTGTAAATTTGGTACGATTTGGGCTACTTTGAGTCATGGCCGGAAAAATTTCGATCCAATATTCGAGACATTTGGACGAGTTTTGAAGGAAAGGAATTGTGGATTTGAGATGAGGGAGAAGAGGGGATTTCAGGGTGTCAATTTGGGCCAGAAAAGAGCCGGCGCCGCCAGTGCCGGCGGCGGAATTTGGGGGCGGCTACTAGGGTTCTTGGGGGAAGGTGGGGTGTGAGGGAGACGAGTGGACGGGGTAGGGGGGACCTTCGGATAGTTATATAGTGAGGGAGATTGATTCCTGGCCGTTGGATCCCCTAACCTAGACGGCTGAGATTGACTAACGACGAACGATGTCGTTTTGGAGAGTGTGGGTTGGATCGGGTGGGACAGGGGTATGGGCCTGGGTCATTTCGGGTGTGATTGGGCCAAATTAATCAAAACAAATGGCCCAAATCCGGGTCTATTATCAGGGAATCCCTCTTTTTAATAGTTTTCCTTTTTATCTTCTTTTTCTTTTTCTTTTCTAATTTTCTTCTTTTATTTTTCATTGTTTTCATTTATATTTTTCTGATTTTATAAAAATGTAAAAATTAAAACAAAGCCCTAATATATTTTAAAAATTAAGCTAATTAATTCCTAAAATTGTTTAAAATTTATTTTGCGACAAACTCAACAATTAACAATTAAAAATGCAAAAGTGGGTTATTTTTATTATTTTCTTTATTTTAAAGCAATTTAAACTACTACTTAATCCTAAAATGTTAAATCTCAAACAAATGCCAAATGTATTTTTTGTATTTTTTATATGAACTAAAATGCACAGATAAAATGCAACAATTATCAGAAAATAACACAAAAATTCACAAAAATTGTAAAATAATAAAGAAATTATTTTGTTTGAATGTCTGGTAATAATTTGCTTAGGGAAAAAATCACGTGCTCACAGCTGCCCCTCTTTGCGCGGAAATACAAAGAATTTTCGTGCAAAGATAAGTGAGCGGAAATGAGCGATTTTTGCCCGTTCGAATATTTCGTGTGAAGCATTTTTGAAAGAGCTGACCGCACCCTGCTTCAGAGGTTGCCTACATATCCTTGGCTAAAAAGGAATCAGGTCAGTGTAGTTCGGGAGTGTCTGGTAGTTGGGACTACCAGGAGATGTGATTTCACGGCGATTGCTGCTACTACTGCTTGCTGACCTCCCTTATTACACCATATCAAAATAAAAAGAAACTAAACTAAGCTATGACTACGAATTACAAAAGTCCTATCTAAATTCTTCAAACTTGCTCTTGTACTTCATGTCGCCTTGTTGTCTTGTGTTTTCTTGTTGCCTTGTTGTCTTGTGTTCTCCTGGTGAAATCCATTGTTGCCACTCCGAATTGTAAACTGAGATGTTACCCCTTCTCTTCAAACTGTTGAACTTGAATGTATTCCTCTGCTATACGGGCGGGCTCCCGACTTCAAAACTTGAATTATTTTCCTTCTGTTCTCCAGGCGGGCTCCTGACTTCACAAAATAGACACAACAAAGAAAACTTTCTGCCCCAGTTTGGGAACTAGGTACATGTTACAGGATATTAATGAGAATTTAAACTAAAACTTGAAATGTAATACCTTTGTTTTCCAGGTGAGTTCCTTACTTCCCAACTTGAAGGTATTCCCATGCTCTCGAGACGGGCTCCTGACTTCAAAACTTGAATGTATTCCCATGCTCTCGAGACGGGCTCCTGACTTCAAAACTTGAATGTATTCCCATGCTCTCCAGGCGGGGTCCTGACTTCAAAACTTGAAGGTATTCCCATGCTCTCCAGGCGGGCTCCTGACCTTAAAAATAGACAAAACAAAGAACTTGAAAGCTGAAGCTTAAATTGTACTCCTTTGTTCTCCAAGCGGGCTCCTGACTTCTGCGCTTAAATGTATTCCCATGCTATCCAGGCGGGCTCCTGACTTCAAACTTGAATGTATTCCTATGGTCTCCAGGTGGGTTCCTGACCTCAAAAATAGACAAAACAAAGAATTTGAAAGCTGAAGCTTAAATTGTACTCCCTTGTTCTCCAGGCGGGCTCCTAACTTCTGCGCTTAAATGTATTCTCATGCTATCCAGGCGGGCTCCTGACTTCCAACTTGAATGTATTCCCATGCTCTCCAGGCGGGCTCCTGACTTCAAAAATAGACAAAACAAAGAATTTGAAAGCTGAAGCTTAAATTGTACTCCCTTGTTCTCCAGGCGGGCTCCTGACTTCTGCTTTTAAATGTATTCTCATGCTATCCAGGCGGGCTCCTGACTTCAAAAATAGACAAAACAAAGAATTTGAAAGCTGAAGCTTAAATTGTACTCCCTTGTTCTCCAGGCGGGCTCCTGACTTCTGCGCTTAAATGTATTCCCATGCTATCCAGGCGAGCTCATGACTTCAAACTTGAAATGTATTCCCTTGCTATCCAGGCGGGCTCATGACTTCAAAAATAGACAAAACAAAGAATTTGATAGCTGAAGCTTAAATTGTAGTCCCTTATTTTCTAGGCGGGCTCCTGACTTCTGCGCTTAAATGTATTCACATGCTATCCAGGGGGGCTCCTGACTTCAAACTTGAAATGTATTCTCATGCTATCCAGGCGGGCTCCTGACTTCAACAAAACATACAACAACAACACAACAACAACAACAACAACAACCCAGTATAATCCCACAAGTGGGGTCTGGGGAGGGTAATATGTACGCAGACCTTACCCCTACCCGGGGGGGAGGGGGCAGAGAGGCTGTTTCTAGGAGTCTCTCGGCTCAAGAAATCATCAAGAGAAGATAAGTTAGTACTATCAATGGACTCATACTAAAAATAACATAAAATACACAACAGAACATAAAACATACAAAAACAAAGAAAATTGTCGGGCACACGGGTGAGTGTTATTGAATCATGTACCAACTATTATTAAGAATTTGAAAGCTAAATCCTATTATCCAGGGAGGTCCTGACAACTTCTAACAATTACGAACCTAAGTTATATCTTCTAAAGTATTACTCTCACTACATCATGTCATCTATAAGGATTTGAAACTATATCCTATTGTCTAGGGAGGTCCTGACCACTCCTACTTGAGTTTTTATCCTACACATGCAAACTTTGGAACCAACTTTCATTCCCCTATGATACTCCTGAATATTCTTGTATTTTAATCATACCATACTTTGTAGTCAAACCTGATTACTGCTTGTTTTTTCCCTCATGGAGAATTTCCCCAAAACAATTGACTTTTCCTACCCCTGTTTTAATCAAAAAAAAATTTGTTAGTTTAAAATGGTGGTTATTTGATGACATTCTTGCTAAAAATACTCCCGCTGCATTGCTCTGTTTTGACCGGCTTCCTCGAACTGACCCTGAATTGCTTGACTTTCCGACTGACTTTCAAACTCTGCTTTTGACAAACAGAATGTTCTGTACCCATACTGTTGTTTCACGCCTCTGACCCCCTTTCTGAACTTTTACATTTCCCACGACATTTTCCAATCATTCCACTGATGAAACTTCCGGTGATTCCCCATACTCCACTTTACATCATGTTGTTGCTGACATGCTCTGACCACATTATGCTTTACCATTTCTGGAATCTGGTAGTGAGCTTTGAAATCCTTTTTACTTGCATTGAACAAAACTGACATTGAACATCTTAGACAGACAAAACCCCCAAAAGAAAATGAAATGCAATGATTTTATGAGTTAAGGATAAGAAGAATCCAAAACCGGATGATTGTTTAAAAGAGAAGAAAAAGAAATTTATATGATAGGGACAGCTGGTACCAATGGTCATGACATGCATTTCGGACTAACCAGTCCAATCTGTCCAACTAACCAGCTTTCAATCGCCATACCTCGTTGCCCCAGAATTTCCATCACTGGATTACCTTACCCAAACTTTGACCTTGTTCATTCCTGCGGTGCCTCGAAACAGTTTTCCACCAACAGACGTTTCTCATTTGTTCACTTCTTAACTCACTTTCGCCTTAAGGTGCCCTGGAGGATTTTCACCAATAAAACTCTCTCATTTTAAATTTTCTCTCAGCTCTCATCGTCTTACGGTGCCCGTGAGGGTTTTCACTAATAAGACTCTCTCATTTTATTTCTTTCCCTGCTTGAACCAGAGTGTTGCCCCTGTCATGAATTACTTTTACCTGCATGACTTGGCATTTCTCAAAGACTGATCAGAAGGTTTTTCTTTGGACCGTAATGTGGCTTTTGGGCAAGGTTAGAAAAGAAGGGTATAAAAGGCTCAAAAACAATTTCAAAATGGGTTAAAATTACAACTTTCGGAATCCAATTTCTCAAACAACCACAACTTCTGCCCCAGTTTCTTGCTTGGGGACTTTTGGATTTTTATTTTGGTATGACTGAACCTCAGAGTAAGGCTGCCTACGTACCCTTTCGGGATCAAGTCAAACGTAGTTCAGTCATAGAAAATACGTTGTTATGTTTCTTTTTTTTTTTTCCTTTTCTGTTCTTCTTTTCCTTTCTTTTCTTCATTTTTCTTTTCTTTTCTTTTCTTTTCTTTTTTCTTTTCACTTTTCACTTTTCTTCTTCTTTTCTTTCTTTCTTTTCACTTTTCTTTTCTTTTCTTTTTTGTTTTCTCTTCATTTTCTTTTCTTCCACACACGCGTTTCTGAATTATGCCATTGACTCCGAAAGAGGGTTATGAAAGAAAATAAGTAAGGCTCAAAGGGGATGACAAGGGATAAAAGTGTTTAGATATCAGGACAAAACGCCTTCGTCATTTCAATCTTTAAAATATGCCAAATACAAACAAATACAATCAAAATAAGGAAATCATACATAGTATCTCTTGACCGCATCGGAATTGATGGTCATTTCTACACATTTTCCTTCCACATCTGTTAGATATAATGCACCATTAGAAAACACTCTAGTTATGACAAATGGTCCATTCTAGTTTGGAGTGAACTTTCCTTTTGCTTCAGCCCAATGGGGCAAAATACGTCTCAGCACTAACTGTCCGATTTCAAACTTCCTCGGACGCACTTTCTTGTTGTATGCTTTTGCCATTCTTTGCTGGTACAATTGTCCATGATACACTGATGCCAACCTTTTCTCATATATAAAACTCAACTGTTCAAGGCGGGTTTTCACCCATTCATCATCATCGATCTCAGTTTTCGCGATAATTCGAAGGGATGGGACTTCCACTTCCGCAGGTATCACTGCCTCGGTGCCATATACCAATGAATAAG